TATTATTACACTCTTCTCTGCTTTTAAGTTCTTATAATATGCTGTTTCTAATATGTTAGCATTTGTTATGTCAGCAGATTAGCTTTTAAAGCTAACGAAGTTTATACTATTAAAAGTGATTTGAGTTCTGCCAACTTATTCAGGTTTACAGTGTACTTCATAGATTTGAGTTATAGTAACTAATTAGTACTATTAACTTTATTTACCCAAGTTATCTTAACAATTAGTTATTGAGTTACTTGGAACCAATTTAAAATATTTTTTATGCTTAAATTGTTTGAGTTAATAAACTTAAATGATTTAAGGCAATCGGTTTCCTCAAACGGTTTGAGTTGAACTAACTCATCAGGTTTTACAGTGACACGTACTGTACGTACACAGAGACACACACTCAGAGACACACACACACATATATATAAGTAAAGCTAAAAAGTAAAGCTTGGTTTGTCTAAGAATTTGTGTGCATTGACTATTTTTGGCAAAGTTGTTCTCAATTCCCTGTTAATGAACTGATCTCAGTGAGTCACACACGATGCAATCGAACTGGTGTGTGTGTTGGTCTATCTGACCGTTGAAGACCCAGAGCTGAAGGTTTGTTCAGCAGGGATGAAGAACTACTGACCCAGAACACTTCTGAGGTCTCAGCACCGGTCCAGTAACACACACACACACACACACGAAGAACCACTGACCCAGAACACTTCCGAGGCCCAGTAACGGTCAGCTGTGAGAGTGAGCCTGACCTTCTTGAGGAGCCAAAAAAACCTGATAAATAAAAAATGATGCCGGCGTCTTTTTTCACAAGGACATATTTCATCCTCTCAGATGATTTTACTGCGCTCACGCTCGCTCTCGCTCTCTCTCTCTCTCTCTTTCTCTCTCTCTCTCTCTCTCTCTCTCTCTCTCTCTCTCTCTCTGCAGGCTGGATGAATAAAACACTATGATGTGATGCCATGAGCCTCGAGGGGGACGGTTAAGGTCACGCGACTCAAAATCGCCCTTCTTTACCTCCACTTAATCACCATCTGTCTATCTCTATGTCTCTCGCCCCCTGGAGGCCGGAGGACCGACCCGCGAGATTATTCCCTTGACCACTCAGTTATGATTCTTGTCAGTGTCAGTTCGGTCTCCTAAAATTACCATTAAAAAATTACCATTCATGCTTGTGAAAGAAGTCTTTTTTGTGTTTATTTGATCAAAAATAGTAAATATTGTGAAATATTGTAATAATTGAAAACGGTTGTTTTTTTTATGTGAATATATAGTAAACTAATTTATTCCTGGGATCAAAGCTGCATTTTGAATTTTGATCACATGATCCAAATATGATGATTTGCTGCTTGAACATTCATGATAATGATCGATGTTGAAAACAGTTCATGTTTTTGCAGAAACGGTGACACATTTTATTTTTCAGGATTATGAATGAAATTTGAATGACATTTTTCTTTGATGAATAAACAGCATTTATTTGAAATAGAATCTTTCGTAACATTATAAATGTATTTATTTACTGTCACCTATTTTGACCTATTTAAACGATGTGGGGCAGGACGAGAAAATGATAAGTGCGTCAGGCTGAAACTAGCAAAACACACTCGCGCCGAGTGTATGATAGGACCCTGTGTCTGTTATTCAAATGAATGTTGAAAGCATGGAAGTTCATACTGAGATCTCTAATATTAATTGCACAATTGTTGAGATCTCTGAAACTATCAGAGTGATATTTAATGCATGTAGCGAAACATCTCTCTGAGGACAGTAATGAGATTTAAGGTAAAGCACGAGGAATCTTGAGTGTCTGATTGATTGCTCACAGGAGAAGCGATTGAGATCTTTCAGTGAAGCGGATCTGAGCGCAGGATCGATCTGTGAGAAACGTTGCGAACGCAGAGACTAGTGTGATAACAATGGAAGCGGATGGAAAGAAAGAAACACAAATCGAAAGAGGAAGGCGGGCGCTGGGTTATTTTTAATCTGTGAAATGACAGAAGGGCGAGAGGCAACCCATCATCATCAACTCCCACACACACATTCACTCACACACAAGACACTTAAAATGTTAAAAAATATTCTATTTCAAATGCTTTTTCTTTACTTTATAATCATCAAAAATAAACTGTATTAATTAGCACAAAAATATGAACTGTTTTCGACATTGATAAAAATCAGAAATGATAATACGGTTCCTGAAGCAGAGAGAAACCGAAAACACACTCTCTCTGTTCTCTCCGGCTTCATAAAGACACAAGCCTAAGCTCACCTCAGCAAACGAAGTTGCGGTTTACTTTATCAATAAATCTGTCAACGTCTCGAGATTTAGTGTCTTGAAGTCCATCATCACTTCATCACTCCGCTTCACGGTTCACTCGACTGTGGCGGTGCGATCCCGCTGTCGTGTCCGAGCGCGGAGTGATGGACGGATCTGAACCCCAGTCAAAAGCAGAGAGCCAGGGTGGGGAAATTACTTCATTTTTAAGTTACCGGCCATTCAGAACGTTTTAAGAGCTATTTCAAGCCTTTATTTGTTATCATTTTGATGATTATGAAAACCCCAAATTCAAAATTAGAGTATTGTGAAAATGTAATTATAACACACTGTCCTGTGTTGAGAAAAAAGAAAGAAAACCCGACAATGGACACGCTGGAAGAGGACAGTATGGGCTGTCAATCCTCCAAAGAGAACTTGAGGTAAAATATTGTTTTCTTATACATTATATTTTTACGTTATACGTTAGCGCCATCGTCTCTCTTTCGTTTCGCCATTTTTGAAAGTTGTGTACGGAAAAGCTCCTGTGCTCCTATTGGTCAACCTCATACATGTGACGGAACCGTCGTGGACGAGCGTTAAAAAAAATTAAACATGCTGGTCTTTTTGTCGTGATGTTGTGAAGCATCGCAGACGCGACGTAGGTTGTCGCCCACTATGACACACTATACGAGATGATACGACCGACGCCCGTTGTCATTTACAAATCCCCCTACGCTATCTCACGACCAATTCGTACGAATTCGACGAATGATTAAAGAGTGTCTAATTCGTACGACCTCACTCGTACGTTTTGTCTAAACCCACGTGATGGGTAGGTTTAGGGGCGGGGTCAGGGGTAGGTCATTCGTACGAATTCATACGAATTGGCCAATTCGTAAAATATGTACGATTTAGCAAAATCATACTAATGCGTATGAACTGTAACGAATTAGCCACTTTTTAATCATTCGTCGAATTTCTACGATTTGGTCGTGAGATCGGGTTGAATCCGCACGACACCCTATGACAAACGGATCGTGCCAAAATCGGGCTAAAATCGTGTAATCTGAACCAGGCATTACACAAACTAGTAAATATAATAAGTAACTCGCCAAATTGCAAAATCGTACTAATTCGTACGAGTGAGGTCGTATGAATTGTAATGAATTAGCCACTTTTTAATCATTCGTCAAATTCGTACGATTTGGTTGTGAGATCGGGTTGAATCCGCACGACACCCTATGACAAACGGATCGTGCCAAAATCGGGCTAAAATCGTGTAATCTGAACCAGGCATTACACGAACTAGTAAATATAATAAGTAACTCGCCAAATTGGCTCGTGATTGGACAGCGTTACTCGCCACAGTTGATTGTTTTGGTGAGTGTTAATTCAAATCTTCTGGCTATATGCATTATGGAGCTGTGGTTTGTAACAATATGAAGTAAACCCCCTATAATCGTGAAGTAAAATCAATGCAATGCACATCTGATGATTTAAAAACGAACACCCTGAAATCACACAGAATCCTGTTTTGTGTTTCTTTACTGCACGTCAATGACCAATGAATGTCTTTAGAGAAAAGATGAAGTTGTTTATCCAACCACGGCATGAGCAATCCGGTCTGATTGTTTTAAGTGACCATTAAAATCCCCCTTCCCAACACCAGCCTCTCGTCTCCGCAGAACAATCAAAGCCACGAGTCCCACGAGTCGATGAAATCACGGAGAGAGTCGGACACACTCCAGCACATCTGATGAGAAACTTTACTCCAGCTGATCGATGCGCTCTCAGCAAAACACAGAGGAACCGCTTTACATCCACTATCTGGCAGCATCCACAACAAATTAAACTACATATATATCAAATTTCATTAAGAGATAAAAGTATTTTTTTATTATGCATTTACAGGTGAAACTTTAAACATTTTAATATCGTGCAAAAGTTCATTTATTCAACGTAAAAGGTGAAACTAATATATTATATAGACTCATTACATGCAAAGTGTGATATTTCAAGCCTTTATTTGTTATAATTTTAATGATTATGGCTTATAGTTTATGAAAATCCCAAATTCAAAATTAGAATAGTGTGAAAAGGTTTTCATATCTGTAAGTCATAATCATCAAAATTATAACAAATAAAGGCTTGAAATATCTCACTTTGCATGCAGTGAATCTAAATAATATTTTAGTTTCACCTTTTAAGTTGTATTACTGAAATAAATGAACTTTTGCATGATATTCAAATTTTTCGAGTTTCACATATTAAAAATCATATATATATATATATATATATATAGAGAGAGAGAGAGAGAGAGAGAGAGAGAGCAGTGAAAGCATATTTTATTTTATTATTTATATATATATATATATATATTATTATTATTATTATTTATATATATATTTTTTATTATTATTATTTTTATATATATATATATATATATATATATACACACAAATATAAAAATGTAAAAAATACATATAATATACGAGAAAAATACAATAAAAATAAAATATACATTAATTGCTTAAACATGTACAGTATGTAATATGCATGTAAAGAAGTCAATTAATAAAAAAAAATACACGTAAAATATACGTTTAAGCAAATTTTCCAAGCAAAAACGTTCTAAACTGAGAAGTTTATTCTGGAAACAAGGTGATCTTTTCTAAAGCAAAAGGCGAGGTCATGCATTCGATGCATTGAGAAACTGTATATCAGTGGTGTGTATTATATTAGTATGTACCTGTGCTTTGAATCGCTGGATCAGCGCTGGCAGAACGGCGTTCTCCTGTCCCGGCTCGGGGGTTTTAATGATGAAGTCCACATCATGACCGAACTCCTTTCCCCTGCAGATTAAACACACAAACACTCACATAATGACATTATACACTCTTCAACATTCTGTCTGTCCGCGGGAGAGGGTTTGATGTAGATCATATGATGAGAAACACAATAATCGTGTGAGTAACCGTACAGGGACATACGGTTCATTTAATGGCTTTGCCTTTTTCTATTACTCAAATAAGCCGTTTGGCCCTGCGTCATTAAACTGCAGAGCGTCTCGAGTGCCGAGCTGTCGGCCTCTCACCGCTGCGTATGAGATTATGGAAATGAGTCTCCAAAACTCAAAGGCCTCGTAGGCAGCGGATTCAGGTGGGAGGAGGGAGATATTCCAGGATATATCAGGTAAAAAAAACTCACCGGGGGAATACAACTTTCACAACTGTTCAGTTTAAAAGATATATAATGGCTTTTCAGTTCATTTTAAAGTGTGAAAGAAAATCATAAAAAGGTAAATTTAGGTGAATAAATCGAAAAGGTAAATGAATCAAACCATTGCTTTTGGAAATTAGTGGAAATGAATGAGTAGTTATTAATGAGAAATACACACTGGGTTGTTTGAACCCAATTTTGGGTAAAATATGGACACACCCAAATGTTGGGTTAAAAATGTAATTTCAAATTTTAACCCAACTTCAACTTTCATTTTCAACTAGGGATGGGCAACGATTAATCACGGTTAATCGCATCCAAAATAAAAGTTTGTGATTACATAATATATGTGTGTATAATTAATTTGTATATATAAATACCCACACATGCATGTATATATTTAAGAAAAATGTGTTATTAATATATCAAATATTTATATTTATATATCATATTAATTGTGAATAAATATATATAAAATATATGCATGCACATACTGTATTTCTTAAATATATACATGCATGTGTGGGTATTTATATATACAAATTAATTATACACACTACATATATTTTATTTTGGATGCGATTAATCACGATTAATTGTTGCCCATCCCTATTTTCAACTGTACATTTTTAACCCAACATTAATTTAACCCAACATTTGGGTTTGTCCATATCTGACCCAAATTTGGGATGAAACAAACTAGCAGTTTTTACAGTGCAACATGACATTTATGAAAAATAAGCTAGGACACACGTTATATTGATTTTTTTTTTTTTATCCCAACATATTTGCCTCGTGAATAGAGCCGGTGGTGCCGCATTCAAGGACCATCTGAAGCCCTATAAGAGCTAAACACAGTAAATGTTCACTTGAGCCCGAGTCTGAGCACCAGAAAAGCGTATGAATGTGATGTTTCTGGGTTTAATGGCACAGTACACACACACACACACACACACACACACATAAGAGGCTCTCAGATCTCATTTCTCTTTTCTTCTGCTCGCAGATGCAGCAGGATTAAAGTATGCCGAGCAAACACAACTTAATGTAACCTAACGCACGCCAGCTGCTTTCACACAAAACCAAAAGCAAAAGAACAGCAATGTTCGTCACAACTTTTTACGAATTTATGCAGCTTGCGAATTATTTAGTGCGGGCGTCGTTTAGAAACGAGGGTTTTACAGCCGGATCCAGTGACCTACAACACACAACACCTGCGGCTCTGTTCCCAAAACTAGTGAGCAGCCTTGCTGTCTACATAGGCAACATCACACATGTCAAGTCAAGGCACATTCAGATTGTTTTAAAGCAGCTTCACAATAATACAGGTGAAACTCGGAAAATTTTAATATTGTGCAAAAGTTCAGTAATTCAACTTAAAAGGTGAAACTAATATATTATATAGACTCATAACATGTACAGTGAGATATTTCAAGCCTTTATTCATTATAATTTTGATGATTATGGCTTACAGATATGAAAACCTTTTCACAATATTCTAATTTTGAATTTGGGGTTTTCATAATCATCAAAATTACAACAAATAAAGGCTTGAAATATCTCACTTTGCATGTAATGAGTCTATATAATATATTAGTTTCACCTTTCAAGTTGAATTATTGAAATAAATGAACTTTTGCATGATATTCAAATTTTTCGAGTTTCACTTGTAAACAGAATAATGATGCAAACTTTAAAAGAGAGACATTTAATGTTGTGCTGTAAAACTGCTTGAAAAAGACATTATAGTGTAATTTCTCAGTTGATTCAATAACTGTGCAAAGTTCATTATAGATATAAGCAGCTCTACAGAAGATAATGTCATTATTCCACTCAATTCCCGTTTTATTCTCATAGTGTCAGTGCCGTCACATCAATAACATTTCTGAATATTGCAGGAAACTCGACACGGATTTTATTTTGCATGTTGCAAAGTTAGTATGGAACTGTAATTAGCAGAAAACACACATAAACAGACTATTTTCATGCTCATAAACGAGTGTTATTAAAGCATGCTTTATGCCGCTCAATGAACACAAATGATCGCATGATTCAGAAATGTGTCGCAACCCAATTCATAATGCAAAAAAGCAGACATTGCCGGAAAATTAAGAAATTTATACTTTTATCCAGTGGCAGTAAAGACATTTATAATGTTACAAAAGATTCTATTTTTATTTATTTTTTAAATCTTTTGAGCTTTCTATTCATTAAAGAATCCTAAGTTTCCACAAAAATATGACTTTTCAACACTGATAATAATCATAAATGTGTCTTGAGCATCAGATCCTCATATTAGAGTGATTTGTGAAGGATCATGTGACTCTGAAGACTGGAGTAATGATGCTGAAAATCACAGGAATAAATTACTCTTTACTGTATATTAACATAGAAAACAGCTGATTTACATTCTAATAATATGTAATAATTTTTACAGTATTTTTGATCAAATAAATGCAGCTTTGGTGAGCAGAAGAGACTCTTTCACAAACATTAATCAGATTGGTACTGATCTCAAACAGCAGGATTAATGACTCAGCTATTTGAAGAACAGATGATTTTGAAGATATGTGAGTGTGTTCATGTAAACGGTTTCTTCATGTCTCAGGATCTGCTCCAGAACCGGATCACAGAGCCAGCGTGTCGCCCGTGTTTGATCCAGACCTCAGAAGAAGCAGCTAAACCTTTAAACCGATGGCCCACACACACACACTCCTCCTGCTTTGATGGAGATCCGCAGACCGAAGCCAAGCATCTCACGGTTAAGTTGATACATAAAGGAGAACCGATGAATGAAGCAGCGTCTGATCCTCTGGGAAGTTCATTTAACACGTAATATTCAGCATTATTATTCATCTCAATGCACTGACGCTATTGGATGAAAACTGAACTGAGCTGGATGATGACATCACTCTTTTCTCCATAAATTGAACTCGTTTAATAATCGATGAACTTCACACAGTTATTGAACCGAACTGAATCAACTCTGTTTTCTATATCTGTATTCTATATAATTGAATTCTGTGCATCATTGAATCATTATTTTCCTGTTTATAAGCTACTTTGAAACAATCTGTTTTGTAAAAAGCGCTATAGAAGCTGGCAAATTATGATTATGACAACAATTTTGGTAGAAATAAATTGTGTGTGTTTAGTGCTTTGATTTTTCTTACTCTTTATTTAGTTCAATTTTTTATCATGTTTGTCGGAAGTTATATCATGTTTGTCATTTTTATCATGTTTTTTTAAATACTTCAACTTATTTTAAATAGTTGCCAAGGTAACATTTCTAATTTTTGTTTAGGTTTAAGATTTTAATTTTTTTTTTTCAACTTGATTTCAGTTATTAAAATGACTTTTAATAGTTTTAATAAGAACAAATGAGTTAATATTATATAAATAATAATAACAACGTCTATAAATTGGACCATGTCACAATTGCATTAATTAATAGAAAATAAAACACAGATAACATGTACAGTATAAGTTACATTTCACATTTACATTCAGAAATAATTTAAAATAAAAATACGGCTAAATAAATCATAAACACCATGTATTTTAGTTCCTCTCACTCCACAAAGGAATGAAAAACATTATAAAACACGTACCAATTTTAGTGTTATTATTATAAACACCAAGCCTAAACAGATTGATGTCATTTAACCAGCTAAATGAGTATTTCGGTCCAGATTTATCCCTATTCCTCATCAAATATGAACAAACTAAACTGTATCATCAACATTCACAATTGCATTCTCGATCAATAGTGCCAAATCAGCCTCCACTAATACAGTCATTAGCAGCGCTCGCCTTGTAAATACAATCATCCCCGTGCGTCTTGAAGTCTGTCGCGCTATAGCTAATGGCAACACAGTGAATCCGAGTGAAAAGAAGGTCTCGCGGGGTCGTTTTCGAGGAGATTATTGAGTGGGCGAGCAGTGTGACACTGTTCATTTAGAACTCAACAAGCCATGCTAATGTGCTAAAGTTCAGCGGCGGCGTGTGGGAGTCCAGCACGAGCGGTCCTTCTACACTGAGAAACATGCATACATAAACCGGCTGCCAAACAAACAATATTAGCTTTGACAGGCATATTAGTCCAATGAAGCACACGGAGAAGTGCATAAGGTTAGATTATATTTGGTTAAATGTGTGTGTATGCATGTGTTTTGCATTTAAAGAGGACCTATTATGCCCTTTTCAGTCTTGATGTTGCTTTAGGCTCTACTAGAACAGGTTTCATGCATTATTTTCCTCATATTCTTCATTGTTGCGGCTCCTCTTTTCCCAGTCTGTCAGTAACACTGTTTACTTCCTGTCTCTATGAAGCCCCTCCTTCTGAAAAGCACACTGTGCTCTGATTGGTCGGCTGGATCAGTGTGTTGTGATTGGTTGAGCGCTTTGAGTGTGTTTGGGAAATGTCCCGCCCCTTTCCATAACCGCCAGTTTAACACACTACTAACTAACTCAACCAGGCCCCGCCCCTTTATTCTGCGTATGAATTATTATAATGAGGAATATTGTGGCGTGTTCGTTCCCGGACGAACCTCAAGACTACTATGGAGGCGACACTGATATAGAGAATTAATGCTCAGAAAAACATAATAGGTCCTCTATTATAGGGGTTGTA